GGGATTAGGAAGGAGCAGGAACTCAACAAAGGCAAACGTAAACGAGCTATGCCATCTTTGTCAACAGTACCTTCTGAGCACCCACCCTTCCCCCAAGTGGACATTTTGACCACCGTTTTTGTATTTCACCCTCCGGTGCAATCGGCTGGCTACTTGCCCTCCTTTGAAGTTTACGACAAATCGGTAGGGAGAGCTTAAGTGCTTCAACTGCCTCTTAGTGGCATTGGAAGATATGAAAGAGCCGGTAATTGTGGCGCCGCTATCAATATTCATTATATGCATTCGCTCCTGTCAATGAAGAAAAAGAAGAAAAAAAAAGAAAAAGGGGGAGAACTGTACGACATCTGGGACCACTTAGGTATCTGTGCGTTCCAGCTGTGCTTGAAGTGGCACACCATTTCTCTATTGTCAGATGTATACGCTAAAAGCTTTGTTAGGGGGTAATATTATTGTTGTAATGGGAGGCTAGGAACAGAGTACTGATTAAGGAGGGGCGTTAGCATTTTTTAGTGATCGTAACGCCGACAGAGTGCCTGGGTGTTCATTTATTCCGTTTTTTATTGTGTTGAGTTTGTAGATAAAGTAAGATTCTCGTTGTTCCCGCTCTTTGATTGTTCGAGAATTGCTCTCCGATGGTGTAACTCTGATGTCATCAAAGCTGTGGTCTTTTAATGTACTGTGTTTTGAAAGTGCAAGGCCTGGAAGGGAATGTACATGTGCCCGATGATTGTTGAATCTAATTCTAAATGGTGTGTCTGTCTGGCCCACGTATTGCATGTTACATACCCCACATGAAAGAAGGTATATGACGTTATCCGAGTCACAGTCCAGTGCACCTCTTATCCTGTGCTTAAAATCCGAGTGGGTGCTTTTAACCACTATTGTTGTCTGCATGTGTTTGCATACTTTGCATCTGCTTTTTCCGCAAAGGCGACACCCTGTTTGAGCTTTCAAGGCTATTTTTGAATTTATAAAATGATCCCTTATACTTTTCAGCTGCCTGTATACCGCACAAGGAGGATAAGTGAAAATTTCGGATAGTCGCACGCTCTGTTACAATATGTTAAAGTGTTTTCTTAGGACCTTGTTAGGTCCTAAGAATGTTAGGTGGTTGTGTTAGGTGGGTTGCTCGTGAATTTTTAGTATGGTGTTGTCGGCATATTTTTAGTGGTGTAGAAGAGTCTGGAGGTTTAGGTTTTCTGCTTTTTTGATGGCGTCATCAATGATAGCTGACGGGTATTCTTGATGAAGAAGTATTTCGCGCATATGTGTCCTGTTTTTGTGGAAGTCCTTTGTGCGGGAGCAGATTCATTGGAATCTGTGTGCTTGGGAATAGGGAATGCTGGTCTTGCAGTATCGCGGGTGGCAGCTTTTGAAGTGCAGGTATTCTTGCCTGTTTGTAGGTTTTCTGTATAGGCTAGTTACCAACGCACCATCATCCATTCGAATAAGTACATAGAGGAAACCTAATTCAGTGTTGGAGTAGGAGTGTGTAAAATAAATGCTGGGGTGTACTTGGTTAAATGCCTGTATGAATTTGAGCAGCTCGTTTTCCGAATGTGTCCAAATCATGAATATATCATCTAGGTACCTTTTATAGATTAAAGGTTTGATATCACAAGATGAAAGAAAATTTGACTCTATATGGCGCATGAATATGTTAGCGTAGTTTGGCCCCTAGTTTGGGGCCATTCTTGTACCCATTGCCATGTCGTTCATTTGAAGGTGGTACTCATTGTTAAATTGAAACCTGTTCGGTTTGAGTACAAGTCTCATTAAGATTTCAACTACTTTTTTGCTTGGATATGCGATAGGGTTGTGAGTGCCATACGATTCAACAAGTGCCCTTACGCCATCGTCATGTGTGATATTTCTGTAGAGTGAATTAACATCCAATGTTTCGAGGAACGCACCTTCTGGAATTTTCACGTCCGATATTTCCCAAAGGAAATGGTTTGTGTCATGCAAGAAGGACTCATGTGTGGGTGATAGGTTTTTGATTAAAGAGTCAGTATAACTGGAAATGGGTTCCGTTAACAGTCCCGTGCCTGATATAATGGGTCTGCCAGGGTTTCCCTCCTTATGAATCTTCGGCAGCATGTAAAAACGACCAGGCGCCAAATGTGCCGTAGTAAGTGCCTTATGAAGCTTTCAATCAATGGCACCTTCACGTGTGAGATCCTATAGGATTGTTACAATGATCTTTTTGCGCTTGGTGGTAAGGTCCAAGTCGAGGTGTTCGTAGAATTGTTTGTCATTTAGTTGTCGCCTGCCTTCTTTGATGTAGTCCGATCTATTCAGAACAACAATCGCGCCTCCTTTGTCTGCTGGTTTAATGACTTTTTTGCAGTTGCTCAAGGCGAGTAGTGCCTCTCTTTCTTTTCTTGATATGTCATTCATACCTTGTTTGTGCACCTTGTACGCCTGTATGACATCTTTCTGAACCCCGTCTATATAGATCCAGATGTCGATCTCTGTTGGCGTCTGGGGTTCATTGCCGCTCGATTACCCCACGAAATAGCGGGTTCTTTTTTTGGGGTTTATCGAAGAAATATTCCTCCAATCGTAAATTTCGTGCGAAGCCGTCTAGGTCTATTGGAAGCGTCAATTCATCATACTTGCCATTGCCAGGGCAGAACGTAAGTCCACGTGATAGTACACCCAGTTATTCATTGCTAAGTTCTGATCAGCCCCTTTACAAGGCTTAACGAAGACATAATTTGTCTCTCATTGAGTATTTGTGGTATCGGCTCGAATTTTTTATGGAAGCACTGTGAGGCCATTCTTTGTGTCTGTGCCAATTTTCATCAATATCTAACCAGAAACAAGAAAGTTCTTCGAAAAAAGCCTGTTGCAAACTTTGACAGGCTTTTTCTCACAAGTGTGTATTTTGGACATTGTGCATTGCTCGTGGAAAGTGTAGCATGGGAATGACTGGACTGATTTTTATGCAGTCTTTTTTTCCTGAATCCCAACACATTTCTTGAGGGTCTGAGAATCTTTGAATTTTGTTGATTGCCCAGTTTTTTTTTTTTTTTTGTAGAAGATGACTTGTACATGACACTGTTTTTGGCAATGGGTGTAAGCAGCCATGATGATCTCCATAAAAAAAAGAGAATTGATGAAAAATTTCCGAGATTCTCATACTCAATGGTCTTCTTTTGAATAAAGATCAACATCATTTGCAGTTTCCTGGCTTGTTCTGTTACAGTGCTAGGCTTTCGATGAGCAGACTATATCAATCAAACTATGTAGCATGATGCAACTTGGTAACTACTCAAGGTATTATGATGAAGCTGTATATTTCCCTATTGAAGACACTTTTGAGTATGCATGCCAAGTTTGATTGCTCTAGGTCAACAAACAAAAAAGGTTTTTTTCAATGCCATCTCCCCTCTTAATGGGCGAAAACAGCACTTACGTTGTGTTACCTTATCTTCGTCCCGTCTATCTGTGCACTGTTCTCGCTCACAATGTATTACCAACTAGCCTAACTTTCAGTCATCTATCATTAATATTTGCATGTTCACATGGTTTCAGTGACTTAGCACTTGGGTGTCCTCATGCAGGCATCTGCCACAGGGGCAAAGGCTTCACAAGGCCAGCGTGTTGAGCTATAAAATTCGTTCACCTGTCAAAGTCATAAAAATGTCACAGGAAAAAAACTGTGCAAATAAAGGAAAGACACCACAAAGAAGGAACACTTAAACAGGTCGAGCGCAAACTACCAACTGTTTTATTGACTGTAGATTGTCGGTTAAATAGGGAAACTGAACGTAGCTGTGCAAACCCGCCAAGGTACATCACATGCTAATGCACCTTGTCCATCAAAAAGGACATTTTTGCACTGTAGAGCGATATCGAGGCCTCACTTACACAGCTATCACTCTTCATGTTAATGAAGAACACTTCGAAAACCTCACGAGCACACAAGTTACTGCAGAAGAATGGTAAGTTGGGCTAGTTGGTACTGATCCATAAGGTATGTAACTGCGCAAAAAACTGACGGAAACAAGAAGGAGAGAAAAAGGACAGACAAGCGCAGACTATCAACTGACGCTTTATTGCAAGAACGAGGCAATATATATAATAGGCAGAAAAAAGCAAGAGGGGGCAAAGGGGGAGGAGAAAAAACACGAGGGACCAAATCACCAAACTTAGGCACATCAAGCATAGCACACCCGTCATACAAAACCAAGATAGCTTAACTCCTTATCATGTATGGCCACAGAGGGAACACTAACACAAGACACAGATTTCTTGTGAATATGCGCAGCCTCAATAAGTTCGCGCACTCTTTGGTTCTTATGCCGGAACAACACAGAAGTATCACCGAACAGCGGAGCGCAGCCGCATTTCTTACAGTGGGCTGCCAGATGAAGGCCGGAGTGGCCTTTTAAAGAATTAAAATGTTCTCGAAGTCTAACATTTAGACAGCGACCTGTTTGTCCCACGTACACACGACCGCATGACAAGGGTATGGAGTAGACAACACCGGTGATACAAGATACATAATTATGAATATGACTAACATTGCATGTGTGTTGCTGGACATTTCGCTGATTACAGTTACTGCTATGACCCACATCACAGGCTTCACATCTACAGGCTGCCCAGTGGGTAGGAAAATTACCCAATTGGTTATTTTTTATCGAAAGCTGGTGTTCCCGTAAACGGTCATTTACGCAGTGGGCTCTGTGGCCCACATAAGAATTGCTGTAGGAAAGCAGAATCTTGTATACCACCCCATATTGCATTGCACGATCGGGTTGGCATGCTTCTTGTTACACAGGCTATCGCACTCTTCGCCGCTCGAAATTCGTGAGCACAACCTCGGAAGTTTCTTGGGTGCAGAAAACACCATGCCAACTTCGTTGTACAAACGATCGGTAAAGACCAAGGTGGACAGTGTTTTCTTTGAAACCCACTGTGGTGTGCATTTGTTGCAATTAGAATGGAAATATTGCTGCCATCCAGTGACAGTGACACTTGCCATCCAGGAAGATGACCGGGAGTTGAGCCACCTCTTGGAAGCTCTTGACTCGGGAGCACCTCCTCATGGTGGCATTGCCCTTGGTGAGTAGATTGCACTACCATTTGAGGTTGAGCAATACTGTGACATGCAATTTGATAAATACTCTCATGTGTAACCTGAAGGGATCGGGAGAGTATGTTTCATTTAACAGGAGTTCCATTTATTGAGAGATGAGCAGGGGTGCAGAATACAAATACGAAATCAGTGATATCAGAGGCAGTTGTTCCATTCAAGCAGCAGTTCAGTTTAATAGTTTTCTTAGTTTTCTGTTTACTGAGAGTCTACTGTAGAGGGACAGTCAATGGCTGAATTTTTATCACGCAATCAGCTGTCAAGTTATTCGTGTATAACCTCGAATCACTCAAAAGCTGCTCTCTCTTCTGCTAAACATTTGAGTTTTGCTTGTCTATTGGCATTATTGCTTGCATTTGAGTTTCTTGTGAAAGTAGAGCTTTCTAGAAATAGCTGACCCAAGTGTCCATGCTTGCTTTTAAGACAATCACTTTGCCTGCATTCTTTTTTGTGTGTAGCGCTTTCTTTTGCCTATTTTAGGAGAATCCAAAGCAAATTTAGCCATAAGTAAGAGTGGGGCTTGTTTTGTCGGGTGAGCTGCTATGAAATTTAGGCCAACAAGTTTACGATCAGCCAGAACAAAGGTGCAGTCACCACACAAGGTCTGAACGGGGAGTCACTATTTTGGCAAATTCAGTGGTAAGAAACAAGGTCTCAGCTGAGAGTCACTATGTGGGCAAATTCAGTGGTAGGAACTTGTCTCATATCCACTGGAGCTACTCGTGCTAAGTTCAGCATAGTCATTGGTCGAGTGTGCAGATAGTCACCTTGCCCTGAGTGAGAGCCAAGCTGCTGGTATAAGAGGCCTACCAGTACAGCCCCTGTGCACCGATGGCTTGATTGATGGCTTCCACAGTGATGTCACATCCATGACTCTGCAGTCGATGCTTCCAGTTTACCGCAGCGGAAAGCGCTTGCAGAGACATCCCCATCCCAGTCTACAACGTCTCTCTGATGGAGGTGCCTGCAAGACTTACACAGCTGTAGACATCAATGACATACCACTTCGACCCAAGTGCCACTCTCTTACGATGGAAGAACGGAAAGTTTTGCTGCAGACGCAGCATCCACAAGTGTGTGGCGCTAAAATAGTGGGCATTAAAGACACGGTAGTTTGGAACCTTCTTTCGAGATTACAGAAAAAGTGTCAGCTACTTGCGTCGTCTTCTGCCACTGACCATGTTATGGCGCAGCACACTTGAGACCTTCAGTGACTATCCCAACACAGCCAGTGCTGCCCTCCAGAGTGTTTTGCAGTTGGCAAAACAAGCGGCGGCGTACACAAGACAGACCACCACGGCACAGTCAATGACGCCTGTCAGAGACAATTTCACTACCACTGGGGCATCATCATCCAGTGCCTGTTGGCATGGGATGCCCACCGTGGCACAGCCAGTGTCATCCGCATGAGAACATTTAGGGAGCTCTCTATGTAATTCCGCAGCGTGGTCAAGTGTGAGAGAGACAGATTGGTACTCGGAAATGGCCGCGAGATCGGCTCATGAAAAAAAAGACAATTCAGAGTAAGAACAGCCAGCCCAATGTACAAGCCTTGTTTCTGTTTTTCACTGCACTGTCGAAAAGTGGCGCATACAGTTGATTCTGGATATATTGAACTCGAAGGGGATTGCAAAATAGTTCGATATGTCGGTAATTAGATATAAGGAATATGTGTGTTTAAGGCTTATATCAATTGATTGCAACTATCGAAATGGCTTTTTGAAGTTGCATTAAGCTTTAAATGATTGAAATGATTTAAATTTAAAAAGCTTTAAATGATTAAGCCCACAGTATGCTTAAGAATAGGCAACAGCTTCTTTCACTAGTTGCTGCACTTTATGTCCTGTGAAAATAGTCTGTACACTTGTATTGCCTCTTCAGCGCCATCATGTTCATCAAGTCTTGTTCATTATTCGGGCATTGAAGCTTTCAGAATAAGAAATTCGCCTCTTCAGCCACAACAGCGATGATTGACAGTGAGCTCGGTAAAATGTTCTTTGCACGATAAAATGTGTAAAGGCAGCGTTAACAGTCTTGACAACCGCACAGGTTTACTTCCATGGCACCGGTAATGTCAGCCATGATATCAGCATTGATGCAGTCAGAAACAGGGACGTCATTTGCATGGATGAAGCCACTTTCTGCACTCCCGTCCTAGGTGGCGCCTGGAAATGCTAATAAGTAGCAAAATTCACTGAGGCACCGTATGCCTTTGTCAGAAGCTGTAGTTACTCGCATTAGGAATGCAGTCTTTTTCTTGAAAAATGAGAGCAAAGTCAGGGGTGCATTCATTATGTGGGACAAATTTAAAAAAAAAAGCTTTTGGGATGAGCGAAAAAGTGCGGTAATGCAAAAAAAAAAAAGTTAGGAGGCGTACGCTGTTTGGAAACAGCTTTTTTGTTTGATAAGCGTGAGTCGACATGTTTTTATCAGTGTCTCTAGGTGTAGGCATTTTCAGTCATGCTTGTGGTATCCCCATAACATGTTCTGCGTGTTGAAGTCTCTTATAATAACTAGTAGGTCGTCTCTGGCAGGGCAAAGGGTGTCCCTGAAGAGTTTTGCAATCGTAGACAACTTTTGAAGTGGGCGGCTGTAGATGTTTAAGAATAAGGTGCTTTATTTCTGGTTGCCTTTGTCGACGAGTTCGAGCAGCACATGCAGTAGGTCTACAGCGTATGTTTTATGTTGTATCTACAAGCATGCCTACCTTCGACTTGTTGTCTTGATTTGAATGTTATGCCTGACATCTCTGTAGTTTTTGTCCGGTACCAATCTCTTGTAGGGTAATGGCCCCTGGTGGCCTTGTAAATGAGTGATCAGTTGTGTTAACAGCCCTTCTTTTTTTTGGCACCCATAGCAGTTTAATTGCCAGAGTTACAAGTTTTTTTACTTTCTTGCGCGGTCTAGGCATGTTTAGACGTTCTGGCTAGTTTTGTCAAGTCCGGGATATTTGGTTGTATCTTGTCATGGAGGTTATCTTGTGAAGGTTCTGTCGTAGTCTATTGCTTAGTTCTGTTGGGTTGAGTCTTGCCTCTGGCCTTGCTGTTGTTAGGTGCTTCTATTGCTGCAACTACTGCTCGTGTGTCTTAAAGTGCAGTCTTTGTGAGTCGACCAAACTAAGTGCGTATGTTGTCGAGGAAGGGCTGCAGCTGGACGCCATTATCTTTATCTTCTGGGAATGGGTCTGGCTTTCTTCTTCAATATGCATGCCCATCCGCGAGCAGCTATTTGTCCCTAGGCTACATGTATAAGTCACGTTCGCTTTCTCCCTGTGCTTTTCATCGGCGTCCCCATCGCAAACTGTTGCCTTTCTAAAACTGCATGCATTATGTAACTCCCTTCTCTTGCGTTCCTTGTCCGAAGCACTTTTATCATTTACATTAATCCTGTGCTTACTACACATTTTATCTACTAAAGCGCTGGCGTCAAAGTCGAGCACACTAACCTTTCTTCATAAAACATCTGTGAGCAGTCTTTTATCCTCCCTTACATCACCTTTGGCTTCTATCAATCTCTGTTGGCGGTCTAGAGCTTGCTTTTCTTTAGCACGGATTGCCTGCAGTTCGGCACGCTTTGACTCAAGTTTGGCATTCTGCTCTTTTTTTGCGAGCTCTCGCTTTTCTCGAACACACTCTCTCTCTTCTTCAATGAATTACATTTAACCTACAAACAGACCCCTATACAGACTAAACTGTCCTAAAAATGCAAACTAAGTCCCACTAAGCTTACATAAACTGTCCTAAAAATGCAAACTAAGTCCCACTAAGCTTACATTTCAACCGTGCTACATGCCAAACTGTCCTAGTCAACATCAGGCACCTCTAGCCTCGTAGTTCCACTCAAGATTCGGGCCAATCTTACTTGTCCCTGCTGATTATCTTTGGACCAATATCCTGATTGGTCGTGTCTGATACATGTTGGGAATCTGGACATTGTCTACGAACGTTGCCGATATTTCTTCTGCTGTCAATGTGGTCACCCGTCATTGTCGTTGTCTGATGTCGGTCTTGACGTGGAGGAGGCCTCCGAGGTTAGGCCTAGTAGCCACAGGTCACTGCACGTGCTACACGCTGACGTGGGCAGAACTGACGTGACCCAGTGCTGCACGGCTTACATGGCCATCTGGGGACTGCCTTTGTCCGCTTTCTTCAAAGGGGGCTTGCGCTAGGATTGTCGGCGGTTGCTGTGCGTGGCTTCTGCATCCTGAGCAGCCTCATCATTTGAAGCAAGTCGAGGTCTTTGTCTACTTCTCAGCATGCCCACGTCAGTAGTTGCGGAGTCGCTGTCCTGACGCTCCCGTCACCAGTGCTGGCGATGCGACCTTCTCCTTGCAAGTCCACGTCGACAATGCCAGGTTGTCTCTGCTCACCCGCCGTTCGCAGCTGGGGTCACGTGCTTGGGACCTCACTGATGGTTGGCGCGCTCGGGCCATTTCGAAGCTTGTCTGCTCATCCTCGTCTTATTTTCTCCTACGGGCTCTTGCTCGTGACACCAAATAAGATTTTAACACGAGGTCCTGGTCAACGTTCCCGGTTTTGATGAAATTTACTGTGGATCTAGGCATTAGTGCTAGAATGATGGTTTCAAAGTTCAAACTTTTTCTGCAAATTTCGCGATTTGTGAAATTCGAGCGCACATGAGTAAAAAACAATGTCAATGGCAGTTTTGGTTTTTAAAAACAACTACTATAGACAATGTTTGAGGCAAACATTTTTCTTAACTGTTGAAAACGTTTAGAGGGAAAAAATCACAAACATGGCAAATTAAACAAAATACCTGCATTTAATAAATTTATTGCAACGAACTACCTTCAATGAGGATAAAACTTGGTACATATCAACTTTGGTACTTTTTATTTCTTTTTAAATAAGCTTCGCAGTTTTATCAAGCTTTGTTTTACTACATAATTGTGACAAAACAAAAGGGGTAAGCCAAAAACACTGAAGTTTGAAAATATATTTCTTAGAAAGGCTATTTTTAATCTTTTTCAGTCTCTCTGATTCATGCCAAGGGCCTCATCTACCATTCTATGTAAAAAAGTGTTGCATTATGTGGGTTTCTAACAAACTTTAGTGCGTCAAATGTGACCAAGTCAGCCTTGTGGCCGCAGCAATTGGTTATGGTCTGAAAATTGGGTATAAATTGTTCAAAGTAATAGCATGCAGTGTAATCACAACTAAACAACTCCATAGCAAAGAATTTTCAGCCAGCTTGCATGATACAGCAAGCTTTGTCTTGTAATCAGCCGTTAACGAATTCTCGACAATGGCCACTCGATGCTGCGACTACTCACATTACTTGAGTGCCGCTTTGGCAGCACCATAGAAAACTCATTCTGGCAACAATTAGTAGTGGCAGCACTGCACAAGTGCAACAAAGATGTAATTTTTCGAACCTAGTTGTCAAGAAGGTGTTGAGTACTTTCATGTGGTTTTGTGGTAGAGTGACTCATGCTTGTCCCATTGGTACGAACCCTGTAGATACTTTAAAGCTTGCCGTAAAACCTTGATGGAACGAACTACTGGTTATAACAAACTATAAATAGTCTTTCCATTCATGCAGTGTTGCAAACGTACACCCATAACAAATGTTTATAGTTAGCGAGACCAGTCAGACACAACGTCATTATGATGAGGAACCGGACTCGGGCAATTTCAACACATTAAAAACAATGTATTGGTCTTCCTACAGGGTTAGACAGATTGGTATGCATAGCCTGTGGAGCACCTAGCATACGGGATGTGATTGCCTTTCCAAAGTCGGCAGAAGGTCGTGACCTGATGGGTGGTTCACCCTCACCCATCAGTGCACATGAGAGGCAGCTCTACCACTTGGGCTTTGCACCAGCATAAACCTGCAATGAGTGAGTACCTCTCTACTCTATGCTACTGATGCATTAGACATTGCTCTGTTTTCTCATAAACATAGCCATCATGTACATATGTTCAGACTTTTTTTTTTTTGTGATCTTCAATTGAAGACCAGTGACCCATATGCTGCATTGGGCTCTTGGCCACCTTTTTGTTTACGAGTACGAAGTAACATACTTTTACGTGTATAATTGGTCCCTGCATATAACTCTCATCCCCCACTAGAAATCACGAAAGTAATCGATCCCTGTGTATTGCTGGTAAGGATCCTTCAACACATCATCATGAAGCCAACTTGCATGCCAAAATGCTGTTGTTACTCTCGTTTCCACTTTGTGCATATTTTACGCTGGTTATAAGCGAGAAAATAAGATGGAGTGTAACATGCTGTATTCTTATGTGATTGCTCACCAGTACCTCATGAATTACAGTCATCGTGCATGCTACCCATGGTGTTGGAAATCAGCGGTACTTTAGGTAGTTAGCATTGGTTGGTTGAAATATAGTTTGCAACATGGAATATGTTGGTTAGAATTTCTGTGACCTACATTTTTGTCCTCTGTTGGTGGTGGTTGGGGTCCCCAGGGGCCCGACTTATACGTTGGCTGGATTGTTGGCACTACCTACGTGACATTCAGTCTTGGAGTGGAGGTCTTGAAGGCAGAGCATCCAATGGCAAACACGAGGAGGTTTTGGTTTGTAGAAAACCTTGAAATTGGTAAACTGAAGATGTAGCGAGAACTTATTCACAACTTCCAAAATACAAGGCACTCCCACTTCTATGCCATGGAATTATTCTTAGCGTCTTGTAGCACATGATGTTATGAACAATACCCGATGGAGGGTGTTATCGCGCTGCTGCCTGACTACTGGTGAAATTCCAATGTTGCTGGCATTTGTCTGCACCACGAATGGCTTGTTCTAATTAGGCGACCTTAGAACACTATCAGATGCCAGCTTCAGTCAGAGTGCCAGGGAGCTCCACAGCAACTCCGTTGACACTTGTGCATTTGCTTTGAAAGGTTGGTCATAGCCTTGCTAACTACTCAAAAAGGTCCAATAACGCTTTTGTAGCAGCCTACTAGTCCAAATAGCTGTTTAAAGTTGGTTGGATCGTTGGCAACTGCTCGTAGCTTTTCAGCGTCTCGTCTTTGTTCACAGGGAAATACAGTCTCTGAAGGGCTCCTCCAATTATTCCAAACTGCCCCAAAAGAGAAATGCTGCTCCAAAGTGTGATATTTGTGAGTAGCTGCTCTGAACCTGCTCCAAATGGCCCTGGAAAACAGAAAACAGTGCACTTTAACTCTGTAACCATTCAGCGAGCCTAAATGAAAACTAAAACAAGCTCTATATTATTATCTTGTGTGCAGCTTGTATAGACCTTTTTAATTTGGGCGTCGCCATATTGCCTTGCGGGCGGTGCCCTGTTCTGGCAACCCACTGGTGCATGCGAAGCTCCACGTTTAGATGGAAAGTATTCGCATGATTGCAGTTGCAGTTGGTTTTTTTTTTTTTTCGTTCTGGCGCGCTGAATTTCATCTCAAACAATGTAGTATAGGCAGAAAATGGGTCTTTGAGACGTTCTCAAAAGTTTTGATCCGTTCATGGATCAAATATGACGATATCCGACAGCACAAGCGTGTCGCAAGTGGTCGGTGTCTTGTGTTTTCGGCACTCTTTCTGTTGGAAAAATATAAAAATATTTCGACCCGTTCTAGCAAGGCAAGCAAGTTCTGGCACCCTTTTAGAATACAATCAATTTTTACTTGGACTGTAATAGTTAAGCTCCTTTTCTCACTCTCGGTTTGTTTATGCTGTCGCACAGACTACCACCTGTACATGCGATCGTGCGGGAGCATGCAGTTGCGATTTCTTGACGATAACAGCAGTTGTTTGTTGCTCACAAACTGTTGTCTATCTTTTGCTCAACCTGTAATGATCCCCTATTACTCGCTCGTTTATTTTTTACCAGTGTGGACGAAATTAGAACTGTTTACAAGGAGGGAGGGGCAGGTACACAAAAAGTAATGCTGATGTTTGCATGCGAGCATGCTTCTTTTTTTTTCTTTTTAGAGTCGTGCATATAATTGCATTGCGGTGGTGATAAAGTGAAAATTGTTCGTATCTTCGGCCAATGAAGCACCAAGCACGTCCAGGCTTGAGCCTATGATTGGCATGAACCCCGCAGGGGTGCCTGCGCAAGTAGGCGTTTGGTGTGTAGCGACACCCCGGACTTGAGCTAACGTGGGAGTTTTGACTCCCTCCCACGCCTAGCCGTGCGTGGCTTTGCCGTGTCCGGGGAAAAAGGGATCCTGGGGGTTGAGCTGACGCTGGGTGATTGGGCCTTTAAGGCCCCCCCGGCAGAGGCAACACACCCCTTTGGCCCCGGCTTCACGTAGATGGCACCTCTGGGCTGACCCACCCAGGGAAAATCGGCAGTTGCCTCTTCCTGTCTCCTTCTCTCTCTACATCTTCGTCGTTTCTACTACTTTTGATCTTTCCTGTCCTCTCCTCACTTCTTTTTACTGCCACAATTCTCTGCGGCAAGGGTTAACCTGGTGTAGATATCCAACCTTGGGTAGATATATCAGGTTATAGCGGCCATGTACAGCTGGCACTTGCGTCTCCTTCGCGTCTCGCAGCGTCCCCTTGTTGGGCTCGGTGGTGGGTGGCAGGCATGGCCGCCGAATAAGCTACCAAATTCATGGGAACTCCTAGCCCTCTCACCGCCAATCGCCCCTCCAAGATGTGGCGCACCGATGCAATTTTCGAATTTCTTCCAAACAAGAAAGATAGCTACCCGAAATACCACATCATTCACTGTGAAAGTACAGAAAAGAAAGCTAGAAGCATTTCACCTTTCCTTGTGTCCAGATGCCTTATAGAAACGCTAGGCGCAGGCTACAAAGCCACAAAGACCGCCAGTGGTGACCTGCTACTCGAAATAAAGGACCACGCACAGTGCCAGAGACTGCATAAACTTACATCATTTGGGGATCAGCCTATCACAATCACACCGCATCGAACCATGAACACCGTGAAGGGTGTTGTATCAGATGGAGACCTGATGGGCCTCTCTGATGATGAACTTCTAACAGGCTGGAAAGAAGAAAATGTCATTCAGGTGCAGCATATCAAAATAAGAAGAGAAAATAAAAAAAAAACCCAACGAAACACATCATACTCACTTTCGCATCTAGCACTCTCCCCGCTGAAATAGCAACAGGATATCTTAGACTGCCAGTCAGACCATACATACCCAACCCGCGGCGCTGCTTTAAGTGTCAGAGGTTCGGGCACGGCTCCCAGAGCTGCCGAGGACAGCTTACCTGCGCGAAATGCAGCACCAAAGTGTAGTGGCGGCGTGTGCCGGCGGTGAATGAACGACTAGACGACTTGAGTGCCCATCGGAACAAAAGCCCCTTTATTCCAACTTGCACATGCTTATATACATAAACAATACTGGCGCCACCAGTGGCAGTGATCGTGGAACCGAAACCAAACAGACCAATATACAACACATTCCCTTCCTTAAAAACAGCTATATGGATTAGTGATTTAGTAGTTTAGTGTGTTAGCACATATGCAAAAAAGTATTATACGAAAATACAACCTGTACAATGAACGTAACTATTTAGTACTACAAAAACACACAGTTTACAAAAGGAATCTACCGCACTGGATACGTCCATTTCATTCACTTTAGCACAACTTTTCTTGCTACACCTAGTAGCCATAACGCTTCGGTGGTAGTCTTTTTCTTGGTGGTTGCACCCTGCGTTGTTGTGTGACTCCTCCTGAAGACTTTGCTGACTACGTCGCAGCAGGCGACCCGTGCGCCTGCGCAGCCGAAGGAGACGTAGGTGCCTGCGCAGCGTACGCAGGAGACGTGGGTGCCTGCGCAGCCGAAGGAGACGTAGGTGCCTGTGCAGCGTACTCAGGAGATGTGGGTGCCTGCGCAGAGTACGCAGAAGACGTGGGTGCCTGCGCAGCTGAAGGAGCAACAGCTGAAGTCCTGGTAGTTATCTCTGGCGTGGGGCCCCCGCATGTAGGCAGAGATCCTCCCCCCCTAGCTGTACCGTTTCCTCCCCACGTATAAAGGGCGGTAGAGGCTCGTGGCACCTTTGAGAACTTGGATGCATTCCACGTTTTGCCGTCAGCCAGGCGAAAAGAAGATGGTCCCTTCCTGCTGATCACTTCTCTTGGGTGGCTGAATTCCAGATCGCCTTTAAATCTAGTTGTAGGTTTCTTCACTCTGACGAAGTCACCAACGTTAACTCTGGTTTCTCTTGCCGCCGCCGGTGGATATTATGCGTGATCCCTCTCTTGAGCACTGGGAGGCCGTGTTGACCAGCTCAGACCCAGTCGTCCAGTTAAGGGTCGTGGAGTGGGCCACACAGGTCGCTGCCAACCTTGGGTTGATGGCCATCTAACACGGAATCATCCTCAGTTGCTTTCTGACGAAATAAAGTTTTTCCATCCATCTGGTTTCTCTTGCAGCCCTCCGAGCGTCCGTCTATCGTTTGCTGCTCTGTTGCTTTTGCTTTACCCGCTCACGTAAGCACCGGAGTTCCGAGTTAGGGTCATCAAAGAAGGTTACCGACGAATGCCCGACGACATCCAACGGAGTTCTTCGCAGCCGCCCGTGTAGCAGAAGAGCTGGAGCCCTTGCCGTTGTAGCATGCGGTGTGCATCGGTAAACACCCAGATACTCTGTTACCGCCTAGCGCAAAAGTCGCTGCTCAAGAACCGCCAGTTGAATTAATCTTTTTAATACTCTGTTAAAGCGCTCCACTTGGCCGTTTGCTTGTGGATAATATACGGACGAATGTTTGACCTGGATGCCACGATCCTGAAGAAATACCTCCAACTCCCGAGATGCAAACTGTGGACCGTTATCGCAAATAACCTCTTCTGGGTAGCCTTCGCGCGTGAACACAGCGACTAAGAAGCGTATTACTGTGCTGGTTGTCGTTTCGCTACAGAAATGCAC